CTAGCACTGGAGAGAGAAAGAGAGAGAGAGAGACCATACATTCCCTAAATCTATTCATCAGAATAAATAAACATAATTCTCCAAGAAATACAGATCTATGTATCAACTCTGTTTTCTGCCAGTCTATCGTGCTCCTCAGTGGATTAACCTGCACAAGACTGCACAATGAGTATTTTGGAATTGTTGCTTTTGTTTTTCATTTTAATTATTTTGTCTAGGATTTTCAAGTTACCAGAACACCCAACTCTGATGAAGTAAAACTGTCTTTCCTCCAGCAAAGTACATGATCCTTATTTTGGCTTCTTCCTTTCTGACTAAATTGGAAATTCCTCAAGGCTGTAATTCAAAGCCATAGGTGACCTTAAAGAAATGATTTTTTATATGCTACCTTTTATTTTAAGGTAACTTTTCAAATGTGTACCATGCATTCCATTATGTTTGGCTGTCAAGCACAGCCTTCATTTGCATTTCTTCCCACTGCTATAATTTTGAGAACTGGCAGGTGACCAAAGGAGAAAAAATGTGCGTCTACCATCTAGAGTACAATGTAGGCTTTTTTATTATAATTAAGTAGCATAGATATTCATGATTAGATCAAGGTCAGAGGAGCAGAACATCAGAGCCAAGGACTGAAAAGCACAAAGAATAGAAAAATTGCTTTCTAAATGTTTTTTTTAATAGTAATAGCTACAATCTTTAAATGTTTTGCAATAAAACATTTAAAATAGCTCATCTGTTTTATTTTCAACTGTGCACATTTAAACAAGAGCTTGAAGTCTCAGCTGAATTATTTCAGATTTTTTTTCAACTTCCCTTTTTTTTTTTTTTTGCTCTCGGTGCACAGAAACAATTTGAGAATTATAATGACAATGCATTTTTTAAGGTTAAGTTCACATGACACCCAAAATTATTTGGATAACAGGCATGCGTTTTCTATTAAGTCTAACAGATTAATCCGAGGAGGTGGTGTGGTGGTCAGGTGTAGGTGATTTGAGCTGAATATTCAACCTAAAATTCAGGGATAACTCAGTTATGGGAGACAGCTGCCATTCGCCTTGGCAGACTTGTATAGCTGTTTTTCTTGCCTGTTCTACCTGGCTTATTGGCTCTAGTTGATTGATTTACTTTTATTTCTTCACTGCTTTCTTTCCCTCTTATAACCCACCAACAACATTGTATACCTCTTCTCAGTCTTTCAACTACTTTTATCCTTTGGTAAGCTCCTAACTGATAAGAAGACCCAGAATTCATTTCAGGAGCATGTCTCCTATCCACCTACCTTCTTCCCATAGGTGATCTCTACACTCATGGCTTTAATGCCATCCTTACACAAAAAAAGCAATTTCATATTAACCTCTCTCCTCACCTTGAAAAGAACACATTCTACTTTTTATTTGACTTTTTTTCTTCATGGTGCTGAGGTTTGAACTCAGGGCCATGTGCTTGCTAAGCAAGTTCTCTACCCCTTGAGCCACAGCTCCAGCCCTTATTTAACATTTTGACTTTATTATCTAATAATTTTTCAAATAGAACCCAACCCAAACTCAAGTCCTGATTCACCCAATTACAAACCACTTTCTTTCTTATTTTCCCCATCTCCATGTAAGTTATAATACTCAGTTGTTTAAGGGGAAAAAGTATTCTCATATCTTCTCATTTTTCACTCTATCAGAAAATTCTATGGATTGTTGAAAACCTATTCCCTTCTGTTCATGTCTCTTCATTGCTACTTTTGCACAAGTCCACATCGTTACTGTTTTTTGCTGGTCTCCCAAGTTTCCTTAAACCCAACATCCACACAATTGTCAGGATTTCAAAATAACTTTTTATTTTGCTTCTCTTTCTTTTATTATTATTTTTGGAGGTGGTTCTATGAAAGGAAGCCAGGGACTCACAAACATGAGGCAAGCACTCTACCACTGAGCTACATCCAAGACACCAGAGTATTTTGTTAAAATATACATTATACAATATCTCTGTTCTTATGACTTCTTAATGGTTTCCCATAACACTGAAGTAAATTTCAAGCTTCTTAAATTGATCAGGATGGTTTGACCCCTGACCACCTCTTAGACCACTCCTTCTCCCTGTCTTCTCACTATCAGAGCTAATCACTGCCCTTCACTGTTGCTGAACCTCTCCCAGCTCATTTCGACATCAGGATACACCTGGCATGTTTCCTCCAGATCTTTTTGCCTTTGTCTAGTCATTTATTCTTCAGTTCACATATCAAATCCTTAGCAGGCCTCCTCTCTCCAATGGGTTGCTACCATAGCACACATTTTGTCTTCATGATAGAACTTTTCTCGTATCTTCCTGTTAGCAATGTCTCCCGCCTCTACAAAGAAGACTGAGGAAATTGTTAAGTTTTGTTTGCTGCTATACTATCAGGGCCAAGATTAATCCCTGACTCACAGAGAAAATGGAATAGACATTTTGAATGAGTAAGTAATCACATTCACATTTCTTTTGCATCCATTATGCACTTGCTATGTTAGCTAGAATTTTAGATCTCATTCATACTTAATCATCTCTTGTTTCTTGATCATTTTGTTTAATCATTTCTTATTTCTTGATTATTTTGCTTCATCTCACTGTATCAGATACAATCTTTGTTTACATAAATTTATTTTTCAAGGTGTGTACTCAATTGACTCCAGTGCTACTCACAACCTAATCCATGGGGCAGTGATGATCTATGAAAAAAATAAATATAGGCAATAGGAGAATACACATAGAAATATTGGTGGAATGTTACATTTTATGCATGTTGAATCTAACAATAAAAGATCAGGGCTTAAGTTTTTAATGTCTTCATTTTATTATTTTTAGGTATCTCATTTTACTGTATTTCACAAATGCATTGATAATGATACTTGAGAAATTTTTTTAAAACAGTTTCAGCACTATTTGAGAAACCACAATCTAAGCTATCCTTCTTTGGAAATAATATGATAGCGATATTTAATTGTTTAGTAAGATTATAGGTATCAATTTATTGTGCATTAGGAACAGATCCAAATTTATCTTCCAATAAATAGTAGGGCTTTTTATACAAAAAAAAAGTGAATAGTGAGTTTAAGTATATATGTCCAGTACAAAACCTTAAATTTAAAAAGTTGGGGGAAATTTTTGAGAAAATACCTTAAGAAAAAGACTTTCCTCCTACAAATAATTATTTAATAACTTTGAACACATAGAGTAATTTGAATTGATGCTGATCATAACTTTACTATCTATGTAGCACTATTTTTGTAAGAGTTGAACAGAGAACAGGTTGATGAGCAACAGATAAGATTGTAAGGAAATGTCAGGAAGCTAAGCCTCCTAGCTCAGGCCTGCTCACATTCAGTTTGTAGACTGTTCATCAACACATCCTCAGTTCTCATCTTACTTAAACCTTAGGTAAACTAATTGAAATAGCAGGGATAGTCTCATAATACAGCAGTACTTTCCACAGCAATAAAGAGCTTTCCCTATTACTTCTTTCCCAAGAGACACAAATCTTGGCCACTCACAGGTGCTTCTACCCCATTGGCCTTATCAAACCCCAGACCTTCATCCATGTCTGGCAATAGTAGCAAAGAAGAGGCAGTAATGACTGTAGATATAGGCCTATCTCCTGTCAGCAATTATCCCAGCATACTTCCACATGACCTAAACACACTTCACAAAGGCCACCAAAAAGCCACAACTGTAATCATTCTTGGTCACTACCAATTTGGGCTGGATTTGATTCAGTGACTCAGAGGTGAAAGGCTCCATATTCAATTACCAGGCCCCCAGCTTCCTCAATTAATCAAAGGCTGACATAATGGGCCTATTACAACTTTTTTTTTAAATAAAAGACCAGATCAAATCAATACACCAATTTTATAACCATAAAAAGAACTATTAATAAATATTCTTTATTTAAATATAAAAACCATCTCTATGGTATTTAATTGAATTCGGTTAGAGTTCATTTTATCCAGAATTTCATTATATGAAATTTGAACAACATCAAATAACAATCAAACTATATTTTGTATTTCTATAGCCAACATCTTTGGAGAAACTCAAATGTTGTCACATTTATTATACCATTTATCCTGCAACAATGTTTGGTGTCTTTATAATTTATGGAGGGATTTATCTGGTCAAAGGGAATGCTATGAAAAATTGTGACAATCATGATGACTCAGTTGAACTGCTCACTGTCCAGGGGTCTCTTATTTGTCATTGTATCAGGAAGCCCTAATGAAGTCAAATAAAAGGTAGAATCTGAAAGATCAAAAAAGAAGCAACAGTGAGGTTGCAAATCACTAGTGGTAAGTGACTGCTAACATCTGAAGCAATAAAATGTTTTTGATGCTAAAATGACAACTATATAAACCCAGAAGAAACTAGTGGAAAAGTCAAAAGCCAACTAATCCAATCTGAACTTTCAGTAATACTATCAACATTCATAAAGTCATTTCAAGAGTTCAAAGTTTAACCTTTTGTCTGAAATTCAAGGATAAAGTCAAAGCAAAGAATATATTTCCCTTTATCTCTATGTCAAAATAAGAAAGCACCCTCCACCTGCCAAGTTAAATGAGGATTTATTTATATAATGATTTATATTTTAAAAAATAGTGCTGGTTCTTTGTGTTCAGGATGTAAAAGAAAGTTCAGGCTCTCTTACTCATTAATGAGTAAAAGTTAGAGACTTCTGAGAGATTGTGAAATTCTTTCTTTGGTGTTTTATTTTGTCACCTTTCTTCCTTTTTTAATATGTTCCATTGATCTTACCTTTTTCATTTTTTACATCAGCTGTCAGGCACCACCCTGTGCTGGTCATCAGCATGCTAGAATCCTTGTCAGGAGCTTGCTTCTTTGAATCTAACCCCTTGAGTGCTAAAACCTTCTCAGTCACTTTACTATCCTTCATCCCTGCAATTGTCATTTTTCTGATTCACAATTGGGGATACTGAGGAGCAATTCCCACACTAATACATAATATCTCCAATTATCTGCAGCTTGCTCATCCCTGGCCGCCTTTGGGGTATTTGTTAATGTAGTGAAAACGTGCTGCCTGCAATATTGCCATCTTGGAAGAGTTGTGACAAGCTGGTTAGACCACACCAAACTAAAAAATGGTGGCTGCTTCAATGAGCTCCATGTGGAAGACATAAAAAATTTCTTCAGCCTTCTTCCTCTGTTCACTTTCCAGCTCCTATACAGAGTGTGTGTTATGCAGGTAAGGAAGGACAAACAACCACAATAACACAAAGTGACTGTACATTAACATGACAAGTAGACATGTGTATGCACCCCACCGAGTGCTTTTTCATACACTACATTCAATAGTAACCCCCCAAATCTTCTAATCACTACAGGCTCTGATTTCAAGAGGCAAGCAGGTCAGGCTGAAGTTTCACACTCTGAGCAGGTGCTTGTCTGTAGGACTGTAGCTGTCTATCAGTAGGTGTGGACAATACCTCAGAGTGCACAGTCACAAGGCATGGGGGCTGCCATGACAGTGCCAGATCCATAGGCAATTACCAAACCTGCCTCCAGCCAAAGCTTTGACCTTCCTCCCTCGTTAAACCTTTAAACAGTGGTACTAACAAGTAGTTAAACTCACTGATCTCAGTTTCACCTCCACTGAACTCTTAAGTGTGAGAACTAATGAGCAAGCTACTCTTTCCCAACTCACCCTATTAGCTCCTAGGGGAATGAGTTCCTATGCTGTGAGGAACTCAGAGGGAATCACTAAGCCCAAAGGATCTTTTATACATCTAAGTGATTTTTAAAAAATTTTTTAATGTAGTTATGGACAAAGGCTAAATTATTTATTGAGAAAGTAGATGATTATAAAAGTCTTTGAATTTAGGACTTTCTTCATTGCTACTCCCCAACTTGAAATTTAAAAGGCTAAGAAGTAAGCTATATGTATCTATTATAGAACAATAGAGCTGAAAAGGAATTTAGAGGTTAATTTACTAGGAGCTTCATTTGTTAAGGAGGAAACAGGTTCAGAAAAATTAAGAGACTGGGGCGGGGGACTTGGGGTGGTAGCTCACAGTTAATAGTAGTGAAAGGAAAAACAGTTGGGCCTTCTGACTCTCAGAACAAAGTCTGCTCTTCTGAACTTGGGTTAGCAAAGTACTTCTTCCAGGCTAAATTCAGCCCATAATCTGTTTTTTCTAATGTCCTGTCAGCTTAAGAAGAGTTTTGTATATTATGTGGTTGGAAAAAATCGGAAGAAGAATACTTTTTAGCACATGAAAATTATACATAATTTGAAAGTCAGTGTCCATAAATAAAGTTTTATCAGAACATGGCTACATTCATTGATTTGTTATATGTATCTCTGCTCAAGCATAAAAACAGCAGAATTGGGTACGTGCCAAAGAACCCATATGTGGTCGTATTGACCATCTGGTCCTTTACAGAAAAGTTTGCTGACCCTTGGTCCAAACAATGCATGGAAGCTAATCTGATTTAGGAGATTCAACCACTCTCCTCATTCTACAAATAGAAGCAGGCACAAAAACAGACTATAGCAGCAATATTATCCATAGGTACAAGTGTTCATATGAAAATGCCTCACAAGAAGACATTAATAACGAAAACAAAGTTACTAAGTAGTCCTTTGCTACCTCAGAATCTTTGTAAATAACACTAACTACTAATTCATTATCTTCGTAAGGCAATCACAGCTGATGTTTCTTTTCACTAAGTTTGAGCCTTGTCTATAAAGTGATATGTGTATATATGTATATACTTGTGTGTATATATGTATATACATGTGTGTATGTATATGTATATACGTTGGGTATATGTATATTCTTGTGTTTATATATATATATATGACACTAATTTGACATAAATTTGGCATCTCACCAAATTTAGATTCCCTGTTTATTGCAAAGAACAAATGCTAAAGTTTATTGGTCACCTATTATTTGCCATAGCTTCTAAGAGATGGGTTCTTAGTGTCTGATTTCATCTTCATAGTCAACATAGAGGTGACACTCTCTTCACAAGTCTGAGGCCCAGAGACATTCAACAACTTGTTGGTGTATAGAGGAATAGTTGTCCTAAATCAGGGCTGGTATCAAAGTCTATTCCTTGCTATCACCCACAATGTCTCTCTTGCACTGGGTGAAAAATCCTTGATGCAAACTCTATAGATTCAAAAACTGTACTCAGTAAACTAGAAACTAGCAACTTCAAAGAAAATGTTAGACCACACTCCTCCAGGGAGGCAGAGGAAACTTCTATCAGGATAGGCTGAGATGAGGTTTTACCCCCAGATGAAATAATCACCAGTACAAAGGCAATCAAAGTACCAAGAATAAAACATCTTAGAATTCCATCATTTAAATTTAGTAGCCATTATTGACCTTCAGTCCCAAGACATACATTTAAAATATGTTGATATTAAAGCCAATGAAGTTGCCATTTGACATTACTGGCCACTCAAAGGTGAAAATGAATCTCTATTGACAACAATTATTTCTGAATACTCAGAAGCTTGTATGAAATAAAAGTATTTAAATTTTTAAAAGGGGATGATTTCAGAACTTGAGGCAGAAGCAGAAATGATTTCAAGCTTTCAAGACGCTGGAGCCTTTTCTTAGATTAGGCAATATATTAATATTGCTCCACTAAAGATTAATAGTACATTTGCCACATTATTAAGTTAACAGGTTTCTGTGTCTGTGATTCATGCTGATAATAACTTTATTCCCATTAACAATAATTCTCATTTGAAATCGGTAACAGAAACTTCCAAGTTATGCTGGGAGCCTTTCAGTCTTAGAGTTATTCGGCTGCCAGGATTTTTTTTTTAAACACATCATTCATTTCCCTCTGATTGGGGGATATGTGCTTAATAATTTTATTGAAGTAAAACAGAACTAGCTAATGTGCCCTTCACTCTTGCCATCTGTACCCAGTCACAACAATTCTTGTTTATTAGCCTCAAAGGATCAAATTAGAGAATGGAAGATACATTATCACCAGAACATGTTTTATGTGGTTAGGAAGATGCTCAGTGAAAGTGTGGTCCTGTCCGGTGTCTGGAAAGAGAGACTCATTTTACAAATCCTGAGCTTATTAATGGGTGCACTGACTGTTGATTCTCCTTATAGCATCTCAAATTGTACAACTGATTAGAGAGAAGACACTAGTGAATGCTTCAAATAAGAAGTTATGATCTGAAGTTTTGAGCAGGGCTGTTCTACCAAGAGAACAGTAAATAAGAATCTAAAGTATTTTCTAGCCTTGTAAGAAAAAGTTTGTAAAATCCATTCCTCAAGTAGAAGGCTTGGATGCCTTTTCTCCATGCCTCTCAGTTGCTTTGTGTACCACTGAGAATTTAAGATTTGCCATGTGCTACTAGTGATAAGGAGGACATGATGACTGTTAGAAAGCTCATGAACTAGAAAAGGGAGGAGTTGCCCCTTTCACATGACATGGGTCCTCACAGATACCATAACCTACCTTAAGGCTTGGCACACAGGGAGAGTCAGCATCAAGACCTTAGCTAGCATTGGGAGTATTTTAAAAATTAAAAAAAATTCACAATGCATCAAGGGCTTGGGATGTAGACAGAGATTTTTTAAACATCTCTTATCTGTTATATAATTATATAGACTCTGTGCAGCTCCTTTCATCATCCACTAGGATCACACAATTAGTTTAAAAGGAAGTCACAAATACAAGAATGTTTCTTTCTTTTTTATTCTCAGGTTACTTGGTTCTTCACAGAAGTAAGACCAATCCAGGGAGTCCAGAAAGACAGCCTGCAAAACATAATATGTGTCCATATTGGTTCTTTCTTCTTAGGAAAACATTCCTCATCTATTTTGCTACCAAACTAGATGTTATTTAAAAATCTATTCTAATTCCCATTTTGTTTTCATTAGGGTGAAAAATAGACAACCCTAACACTTTCTACTGATTCTTGCTTCAATATGCATGAAAAACATCACTTTTGCTTATGTGTAGAGCTTAAGTGATTTAACTTCTTATATGTCATCCTGAGCACAAAATTAGGGCCACCAATACTTTCCATGGGAAAATTAAGAAGGTAAACCAAGTGACAAGAGTCCTCCCAAAAGAATCAGTAGTATTGTCAATGGACTAAATTGAGCTCCTACTGTCACAGATGAAGACCCTTTATCAGCTCATAATTGGGACCTAGAAAAGTCAAGGAACATGCAGCCTCTCATGGAGTACATGTGAGGGGGAAGGCATCTGACAGAGTACACGGTTATCAAAGTTAAGCCACTGTCTTAATGCATGACTGCTTCCTCCCTTGGATGCAGATTCCTTCAGGATATTATCTACAGACCATGAATTCCAACCTGAATTTGGATGGATTTCTTCTGCCAATTGCAGTAATGAATGCCATCAGCATCCTGCCATTATTAATTCTGCCTCCTTTTATGGAGTACCTCAACACCTGCCTGTCTCTCTCTAAGAAAGATGGACCATTTCTGTCGGCATGCATTAGTAAGTATAACTTAACATTGCAAGTGATTTATTTGTAACTTTGTTTTTAAAAAAAAGGAAAAGATACTCTGCTAAGATCTAAACTAGCTATGTGCTCATGAGTAGTTATATTTCTCACAAACTGGAAGGATAGTGAATTTGTCAGTGACAATATCCAGCTTCCAAAATTCCAACCTGGACATCAATGTTGCCTCTTCTAACCATCCTTTTATGCCTCCTTAGGAGTCACAACTGAGAGGGTGGGCAAGGTGGCTCACTTCTATAATCGCAGTTACCCAGGAGGCAGAGATTACAGGATCACAGTTCAAGACAAGCCTGGTCAATAAAGTTAGCAAAAATCTAGGCATGGAGCATGCCTATCATCTCAGCTACACAGGAGGTATACATAGAAGAATCACAGTCAAGGTTGGCCCAGGTATAAATGCCAGACCCCATTCAAAAACTAACTAAAGCTAAAAGGAGTGGGGGTGTGGCTTTAGTGGTAGAGTGCCTGGAAAGCACAAGCCCTGAACTCAAACCCTAATAGTGAGAAAGAAAAAACAGAAGCATCACTAAGAGGTCTATTTTTCTTCAACAAGGCACTCCTTATTCCTAAGTTAATGTCAAAAAATGCTCTTAAAAATGAACACAGACAGTGAATCCTGTAAATCATTTTGATTCTGAACCAGTAGCAAAATTTATTAAAAATTAGTACTGTGGGGCTAGACTGGAGATATAGTTCAGTGGTAGAGTATTTACTTAGCGTGAATGAGACCCTAGGTTCAATTCCTAGCACTGCAAAAAAAATAAATAAAGTGTATAGTATGTGTGTGTATTGTAATCCACAGCTTCAATGTAATACTTCTTCAAATAGTAAGGACACAGTCAATATGCCATAAAATAAAATTTCTCTGATTATAATGGGGAAGAAGACATGAAGTCCTTCTGATCATGCTGTCCTCTGCCTAACCACGTTCCCATGGGTACTGTCAGAACAGAAGATGAGTGCTGTCCATTAAAACCGAAATCAGGGCCCCAAGACTTAGACCCAGCTCTGCTTACTGGGTAACTTTGAAAATCCACCTAACTTCTGCTATGGTTTGCTCTTTTTTTTGTTGTTTTGGTTTTTGTCTTTCTAGTGTATAACCTAGATAAATCTTGGGTCCGTTTGTTCTCTAGGACTTTTGAAAGCACTTAGGATAACATCAGAGGGTATAAACAGAAAGCAAAGGAAGTTTGAAACTCTTGGGAAGCATCATGCAATGATAACCGAATGTCTTATCTTCTACTTAAAAAATAATTCCACTGAAATAGTCAAGGTACCATATGTAGAAGATGCTCTTCTGATTAAACTGTTCTTCATCTCTCCTTCTTAAAGATAAGTGGAGACCACACAGTCTTCTAGCTATGCATACTTCTTGCTGTTTTCTGTTTACTGAAGGTGCATGGTGTATGTACATTCTGGTTATTTATCAAAGTCATTCAACAAGATTATTCCAGATCGCCCCACAGGTTGGGTTTGTTTGGAGTTATACTCAAAGTGATTAAATGCACCTTAGTTTATTTTATCTTCAATTATAGCGGCCTGTAGTACACAGCTTTTCAAAATGTATTTCTTATCCAATAACCCCATTTTTATTTATTGTCATAGGGTTTAATAAACTACAAATCTTAATAAATTTTGAAAATCTCTAAATTTTAAGAAGTGCTTTTTTTGGTCTTCCAATGAGGAAATTCCCAAACCAGTGTGTATTTAGTGAATGTCTGGCATTGCATTGGCCTAAAGATATAAAATTCAAGTAAAACCTTGTATGTATAAGCCCTCAGTAAGTTGACTTCTGAAACGGAACAAATGTAAAACCAAATTGGGGTGCATTCATATTTAGAAATGTCAAAAATCTTGGCAGTATTTTCAGTATCTGAAATATCCCAGCCTAAGCTACAAAATTATGCATAGTTACACAAAGATTTAGAATATAGGCTGCTTTAGAAAATGTACTATACAACATGGCTGTAAGAATTACAATAGAAACTCTTCCTTAGGATAAAAGATCTTAAGTTCACTTTAACTTGAGAAGCTATCTTGAGACGGTTTACCACTTCTGCATATTTTAAATCATGTCTACTCTTTAAAAAGGTTGTGTTTCTTGTGGCTAGAGCTAGGCAGAGTTATCTAGAATATTGTTTGATATAGTTGATGAACTAAATATGGCCCTTCAAAATTGGTAATAAGACCTGTTACAGGAAAACTAGACTCACTTCAAAAGAAACCAAGCTATGTTCCCCTGGGTACAGAGTTCTGAATTCAGTTGTTTCTAAACCAGACTCATTCATTCATTCATTTGCATATGTGTTCATTTATTTGCATAATATTTTGTTACAGGAATATAAAATAATATATTTTTATAAAATATATTTATATATTATAAATATATATATTATATATAATATATAATATATTATATATATTATATAATATATAATATATTTTTATAAAATATATTTAAAATATATAAAAGGTGTGATAATATGCACCTTTTAAACTAGATACTTGCTTAAGTTTTCCATATTCTGGCTATGGTTATGAGGCAAGTTTTATCAGGACATAAAAGTACAAACCTAGGGTACCTTTTAATACTCATTTACGTAATTGAATGACTCTAGTACTAAAATTTCCTTTCACTTTGAACTCAAGTACCTGAAGATGTGAATGAAGTACATAGGTATATCAATTATGAATGGATGTATAATCATGAGTTCTTCGTTTGAACCTAGGACCTTCATATACCCATTACATTTGTACACATGTTACCCTCTGGACAAAGAGTGAGAAAGATAATTTCATTTGAATCGAGGTATTCTAAGACATTTTATAATTATTATTATCATCATAATCATTTTTATTGGAATTATTCCACTTATCAACTATACATAGTTGTTAGATTATAAAAGTTAAATTATTAGAGCTAACTTGGAATCTTTACTATTTCCAAGTAGCACTTTGAAGTAAATTAAAACCCTTTGTCACCACAACAGGCAGTTACTCCTTACAACTGTTCCACTCCCTTCCATCTTCATTCACCCCCATTCCAGGGACTGTCATATTTAAAGGAAGCATGTAATAAGGCAAATGGATAATGTTTAACATGCAAAATCACAACTTGAGAGATGGGAATTCTCACCCCGCTGGTCAAATTAGAAATTGTAAAAAGTCAAAAATAATACTTGTGGCACACACCTCTAATCCTAGCTATGCAGAAGGCATAGGTAGGATGATTGTGGTTCAAAGCCAATGCTGAGTTCAAACCCCAGTATCACTGCAAAAAATAAATTAAAAAATACCAACTTTAATTCACCAAAAGTCTAGAGTTAGTGACATCATTGTGATTAATCCTCTGTCATAACTGGCCATGATTCATTTTATCCTTTCATGATTCAACATATTTACATCATATATAATTCCTTTCCTTAGCATTAATTAAAATCCTGTAGCATGTGACATTCAGTAGTTAGTGCAGACACATACAACTATTAATCTGACTAAAATTAGCCTAATTAAGATTGTTAAGTCTTACAAAAAAAATAAGGGTACAACCATTAGGAATTAATTTATCTTACTTTTAGATATCATTTAAATTAAAATGCAGATTAAATATATTCAAATATCTGCAAGACCATCTTTAAAATAACCTCAAAATTCAAATTCTAACTAAAAGTCTTTTATGATGCAGGTTAACCAAGGTGCTGGTACCTCTATACGTAACCAGTACTTTCTACTAGTGCTAAAAAAAAATTGGCTATCACATGAAGTTTTGTTTTTGGTTGGAAACAAAGTGATTGATAAACTAAAATCTGAGTTAGGGGTCTAGGCATTTTCATTGAAAGTAGGACTATCTCAGGTAAAATTACTTTTTTCTGTACAGTTTTGAAATGGACAAATTTTCCCAAAAAACATTATAGCATATACCCATTGCAAAACACCTCATAGAAGGAGCTATGCAATAACAAAATCCCAAATAAGTTTCTCATTTCAGTTGTTCATTTGTTTAATGAAAATATGTTGATGTTCTCAGTTGTTAAAATTAGCATCAAATTGGATTTAAATTTGAGGTGACGGAGACATACTTAGTATACTACGTGAAGCAATCCTTGATGCATTGTAGAGAGACATTTGTACATCTGATTGATCTTTGAGTAAATGAGTTACCACTTCTATAATAAAGAATTAAAGCAAACTGAAGCTAAATCTCCTGAAATGAGTTCCAATGGTCTAAAAAAAAATAAAACAGAGAAGATATATGTTAGCTCAGATCAAATATGAAAACACACAAATAATAGCAGAAACAATGAAAATAAACAACATATGTCATTCTAATAGTGAATGAGATATATCTTCCCTGAAGGCAGCAAGTACATGGCAATAAAATCATGGCTGCCTCCACAGACTGGCTCATGGACACCAGTACGCTCTCACATGAATAAATTTCCTATTTCGGAAATTTGCCAAAATTATGTATCTAAGGGGAATTTCTTAAGATCTAACTAGAATTTCAATTCTTATGGTCATGAGCTTATATATCAGAGGCCATACATCAGACTACCCATAGAAACTCCCTAGTTTTGTCAGGGAATAAATCTAGCCAGCAACTAAAAAAAATCTTAATGTATCCATTTTTTAGTATTAGATATTGCTTCAATATGAGATGGCAAGTGCAACCTTAATGTTTGAATAAACTCTGACTTTCTTTTCTTTTATTGTAATCTAATTTGGAAAATTATTACATGGTAGGATAATAGAATAAACTATAACAGCTTTAAATATCTTATAGATTTATCTGCAATCACATAGCCAATACTAAAACATATGTTATATATTTGAATATAATATCTTCTTTGGAGCCATGTGCATTATCTTGTAAAAACAGATCAGTAAGAGGTTTAAAGTGTGTGCATTCTGATCACAGTACTGTGCTTTGGAAACTTTGTGATCTCATACAAGTTAAGAATTAAAAATGGAAGGG